TTCTCGATATTTTACTTTCCCCTCATGGGATAAATAAAGTTCGGTGGCGACTCTTCTGTCTATCTCTTTCGCCTCCCCGTCGTTGCGCGATGCATTTTTCGAGTAGCGACATATACTTGTTGGTCTTGTAAGTAAAATCAAGTATGAGCACTGTTGGGAACGTGTTGAACAATTTTACCGAATCCAGATGAGTCCAAAATATATCTCTAACCGTAACTCCATCGTCGCAAGTTTGGTACCTTTTAGATACCCAACTTTGCTTATTTGATCTATCAAATGTGGGCATCTTTCACTCATTTTTGTAAAGAAAGTGTTAGAATCACTCTTGCTTTAGTTGATTTGCACCATTATGTGAAAATATCTTGGTTCCTTTGATTTGTGTGTTATTGTGCAGGAATTAGGCACGTAAAAGACTTCGGTGATCTTCTTACTTCCATATTTTCATTTATGATTGTTAGATATTGTATGAATTAGATTGATTTTGGCATTGTTTGTTAGGTGAGTGAAATTGTCCCCGCGGTTGCAAACTCGTAATTTCTTCAATCCTTATTCGAAGAGGAGAGATAGGGTGATTCATTCAAGATGACATTGTTGTTGATTGATATGTGTTTTTCATTGATTTAAGACTTTAGTTCTTTTGTGTTGTTTGATTCTCACCATTGGGAACCTGTGTCTGGTTGCATTCCTTGCGTTTGAGCCATTTAATTCGATTTCGGAGAAATCTTTATCTTGAGCAAATCCTTTTGTTTCATCAAGAGGCATACTTTGCTTGAGGGCAAGCAAAGATCTAGTTGGGGAGAGTTGTTAGATGCCCAACTTTGCTTATTTGATCTATTAAATGTGGGCATCTTTCACTCATTTTTGTAAAGAAAGTGTTAGAATCACTCTTGCTTTAGTTGATTTGCACCATTATGTGAAAATATATTGGTTCCTTTGATTTGTGTGTTATTGTGCAGGAATTAGGTACGAAAAAGTGAAGAGTAAGACACAAGAAAGATAACAAAGAAACTAAGTCACCAAGCAAACAACATCAAGTTCGCTATCCCAAGATTAGAGTTTGTACGAACTTGCTAGCGAAGCTTGCCAGAAAACTTCACAAAGTTCGCACAGCGAACTTGCCAGCGAAGGTCAGGAATCCAAAACAGTAAGAAAAGAGTTCTAAGTTCGTTGTGCGAAGGAGGCAGCGAACAACTCTCTAGGCGAAGAGGTAGCGAACACTCCCAGACTTGAGGCAGTAGGTATTTGGATAAGAATTTGCTGTGTGAAGTTCTCAGCGAAGGATTCGCACTGCGAAGAATTCTTCGCACAACGAACATGTGGAATTTTTTCTGGGGAGTTTTCTTAGGACATAGGCACTTCAGATGCCATTTTGGTTGTTCGCTAGGCGAACACTTTGTTCGCACTACGAACATGACAGCTCAGCAGCCCTTCTTTAAGTAGTATGGGCTACTTTTTGAGAAAATATCTTTTATTTTTGTACTTTCTCTTGAGGGGATTTTCAGACCTAAAAGACTTGTCTCTCCATTTCTCATCATCTCTTAGCAATATTTCACAAAAAGAAGGTGGATTCCCATCCAATCTCGATTATTCGACTCGGATGTTGATCAACCTTCTTCCGAAACTTGTTGCTCAAGCTATCATGGAAATGAGTGGCTAAATCCCTCTCTTGTCAAGGTTAGAGGTAGTTAGTTCAGATTTTATGTATTCTTCTTGATCTTTTGTATGTGAACAATATTGTGATCAATATAGATGAAGTTATTTGCTACTATTTGTACATTTATGATTTGGATTGCTTTATACATGAACTTTCCAAGTCTTGACCTAATTTCTTCCTCTATCAACTATACAAATTCTAGACATAGGTTTGAAAGTTGATATCCGCTTTGTATTGATCTTAATGATTATTGTTTCAAGTGTTATTTAGAGAGATCATTTAACGGCCGAAACAATAACATTCACGAAATCGCTTTAGAAATGAAAGTTTTTGCGAGAATACGCGGTTATGTTGGTTAAAACTTCGTTCACATATTCGATCGGTTGGATACGTTTAGGACGGATTAGCGAACCCTAATCTTGACATGCTTTTATCAAACTTAGACTGAATTTTATTCCGTTTTATTTCTTGCAAACTCTTGTTATGAAAATTGAAACCATTTAAAAAAACCCCTTTCTTAAATCATTAAACCGTTGAACGACAAGCATCTATATTCTCTTCAATCTCTGTGGATACGAAAAAACACTACCCCAAAATACTTTCTAACAGTACCGGGACACGTAACTGTTATCGTCCAAGAGTTTCAACAGTTGTTGCATCTCAATTCTATCTCCCCTAATCGCCTTGTTAGTAAGGCACCGAATGTTATACACTTGCTTATTGTTTGATATATTCTCGGTTTGCTTCCGTTTCAATGCTGCACATATATTTTTCGGTTGGGCAAGATTCAAGGTCATGTCACTAATACATACCTTCTCTTCCGACTTAAGCCGACATACACTAGGATGTCCAACTAATTTTAAGCACAATTCATTGTTATGCACACCATAAATGAAATTAAAACCACCATTTTTCGCTAGCCAACATGTTACCACGAAACTTAAACGGACACTCACATTTTCTACTATCCGTGTCTTCTCTCTTAAATTTCTGGAGAGGAGTTTGATATATTCCGCTTCTTTCGCACAACATAATCACAAAGTCACTTCTTCTATTTGAGTCATTATTCGACCTTCCGTAACCACACCAAATTCAAATCTAGATGCCTCCATACGAATCTATTCGAGCATGTTATCACGATTTTCAAACTCTTTCTTGTTATTAAAGTCATTTCCAACATCTATTGCCTTCACAATAATCCCTTGAGCATTTGGAAAAAAATCGTTCGGAGAAACTACTTGTTTTAGGAAAAAATCAGGGGGCATCATATCTATTGAAACAATAAAAACAGTAAAAATAATTAACCTACTGCTGCAGAAAAGGATTGAAAATGAACACAAAAATATTTCGGAAATATATCTCCGAAAAAGTTCATGTTCAGCACGTTCCGAATATACATCTCTTGACACTACGTAAGTTTTTTTCAGCAAAATTTCATGATTAATGTAAGCAATGCATAATAGAATAAACATTTTTAACTGAAATTCGATCTTCTTTTATTCCCTGTGATATGTTAAACCAAAAGGATGGAGATTTAGAGTGAAAAATAGGATTAAGAATGTAGGGTTTTTAAGGTAAGGGTTAGAGTTGAAATGAAGAATGACAACAATGAGGGGAATGATCATGCAACTCAGATACTTCCGGAGATATATCTCTGGAACAATCTGACATGTAAAGGTGATAGGAAAATTCAAATTACCATTCACATCTTCCGGAGATATATTTTCGAAACATCTACTGAACTGATTAAATTTCATATTTTTTTTAAATAGTTCCGGAGATATATTTCTAGAATAAATCTTTAGCAACTTCATGGAATGCCATTTGAAATGGTCTTTTTTAAGTGTGAAAATAATGCGTCCGAAGATATATTTCTAAAAACTAAAAACATTATAAAAAATACACATGATGTCAAAAAAAAATATACATAAAATGACTTAAGAAATTCTCTTTGCTTTACTTTTAACTAGCGTTTCTCAGCAGGTATCTTGGAAGACATATCACAATATTTGAAATTCAAGCTGTTACACACATTAGTAAATTGATCAGATTAGTGGCTTGTTAGTGCATTCCCTCTGAGGTAGTGTTATGATTCAATTTGAGAAAAGGAGAATCACAAGTGATAAATTATACTAAATGTCACAAGCACTGTACAATTTACTTTAGGGAAATTGAAATACAATTGAGGAAATGGAAGTACACAAACCTAAGAAGGCTCAAAGGGAGAGAGAGAGAGAGTGTGTGTGGTTTCATCATCAATTCATTTCCCCCCACTTGATCTATTTAACAAAGTCTTAGGAATATTTTCTGTTAGGAAACTTCTCTCTCATGCTCCTCTTCCTTGATGGATGGATCATGTGCTATGTGTCCTTGCTCATGTGCTACTGTTGTGGTTTTTCTGTAACTTTCGTTATGCGTAACATGTAGATTGATTGTTCTCATCTTAACCAGTTATGTAATATGCTTCATCTACTATACTATGTCGATTCACATTATGCTGCATTTTCTCTAGTACTACTGTATGTATTATCCTAATTGTTAATGAAACTTGTGATTCTTCTCTCTATTTGATTATTTTTTGCAACTACACACAACAATAAGGTTTGCATTTGGAAATCAACAGCAGTAAGAGTAAATTCCAGGTTAGAGCAAGTTATCATAATCGTTAATCTAGCAATTTTATCCATGGAATAGCTATTCATAAGGTTAGCATAAATCTGTCTCTTTGGTGAGTTTTTTTATAACTATGTAGTATGTTGAGGCCATAAAATATAAACATGTTAATTGTTCATTTGCTGCATACATTATTGAAGCTTCAACCCAGATGTAGAAGATTGGAGATTAACACAGATCCAATTCCAATTAGATAAAACATAACAGAAACATAGGAATGGAACACCATGTCAGAGTCAACTACTATGAACTGGGTCAAGGATTTCAAGAAAAAGGGGGATGGTTTAAGTGTTATTGGTCTGGTTAAATTGGATATATAAAAAGAATTACAAAAATAGTACATAGGAGTTAATCTCTTTAATATTGCTATTTTAAATTGCGGAAAAAGATCAATCAACCACCAAAAAAAACCATTAAGTATGTTGAGAAGTCTTCTTCTCTGACTTGCAATTTGTGTGTGAACATAATCTATTTTGGTATTGGGTGAACTTTTTTTAATAAGAAATAACCAGCTAATATGTTATTGCTAAGAAGCTTGGAAGAAGCAGACTTGAAGTTGCAAGAGAGTTATTAATATTATATAAAAAGTTGTTCACATCACAGCTCATTACTCCCTCTTCTTTCACTGCAGTAGCAATAATCTATCTATCCTCTAACAATTTTGCTTATTCAGATGGCCACCACTAGAAGTAATAATAGTATCATCAGAAGCGGCAGCAACACCTCTTCATCAACAAGGAGAAATTACTATGACGTGTTTGTAAGCTTTAGAGGTACAGATACTCGCCTCAATTTCACTGATCATCTTTTTGGAGCCCTCCAAAGAAAACATATTTTTGCATTCAGGGATGACACTAAGCTCAATAAAGGTGAATCCATAGCACCTGAGCTCCTTCAAGCAATTGAAGACTCTCGGGTCTTCATTGTGGTTTTCTCTAAGAACTATGCTTCCTCAACTTGGTGCTTGAGAGAATTGGAACACATCCTTCTTCACTGTGGTCAACGACCAGAAAAACGAGTTATGCCTGTTTTCTATGATGTTGATCCTTCTGAGGTGAGACATCAAAAGGGAACTTATGGCGAAGCCTTAGCTAAACATGAACAAAGATTCCAACAAAACTATGAGAAGGTGCAAAGATGGAGGGAAGTTCTAGCACAAGTCGCAGATCTCTCTGGTTGGGATGTTCGTCATAAGTAAGTAAATTTCTTTCTTGATATTATATAAAATTATGCTCTTACTTTTGCAAATTATAAAGCTTTGACACATAAATTTAGTAATTAATCAAAAAGCCCAAGATATTTTATTTAAACAAGAGTCTTTTCTAAAAGGAAAAAACAGCTCTATTATGCAAATGGGCCATTTTTGTTTTAGTTATGGTACTTGATGATTTGGTGTTGTTGGTGAACTGTCTCAAACTTGCAGGCCACAATATGCAGAGATTGAAAAGATTGTTGAAGAGATTATAAATTTATTAGGTTACAAGTTTTCAAGTCTTCCAAAGGATTTAGTAGGGATGCACTCTTCTTTACACGAATTAGAAAAGCATTTACTTTTGGGCTCGCTTGAAGATGTTCGTGTTGTTGGAATTTGTGGTATGGGTGGAATAGGAAAGACAACTCTCGCTACTGCTTTATACAACAAAATCTCTCATCAATTTGATGTGTGCTGCCTTATTGACGATTTAAGCAAAAGTTATAGGCAAGATGGTCCAATCAGTACACAAAAGCAAATTCTACTTCAAACTATAGGCGATCAACAGTTTCAATCATTCAACTCTTGCAACACATCTAACCAAATAGGAAGTAGACTGCGTCGTGTAAAGGCCCTTATAACTATTGACAATGTTGATCAAGTTGAGCAACTCGAGAAATTAGATCGTGAATGGTTTGGTCCGGGGAGTAGAATAATTATTATTTCTTAGAGATGAGCATATATTGAAAGAGTACGGAGTGGATGATTTTTACAAAGTTCCACTCTTGAATGAAAAAAACTCTCTTCAATTACTAAGTCGAAAAGCTTTTAAACTTGATCATATTGTGAGTAGTTATGATAAGTTGGCATTTGATATACTATATTATGCAAATGGCTTGCCACTTGCAATTAAAGTACTAGGTTCTTTTTTGTTTGGTCGTAATATATCTGAATGGGAAAGTGCGTTGTTAAGATTGAGAGAAAGTCCAAACAAAGATATCATGGATGTGTTGCGATTAAGTTTTGATGGATTGGAGGAAACTGAAAAAGAAATATTCCTACATATTGCTTGTTTTTTCAAGCATCGCACTCAGGAATATGTTATGAATATTCTTAATTGTTGTGGATTTCAAGCTGATATTGGATTAAGAGTTCTAGTTGATAAATCACTTATAAGTCTTTCGGAAGAGATTCATATGGTAATAATGCATGGTTTGTTAGAAGAGTTGGGCAAAAAAATTGTTAAAGAAAAATCAAGAAAGTGGAGCAGGGTGTGGCTCCATGAACACTTCTACAATGTTAAGTTGGAGAATATGGTAAATTAATAGTTTGAAAATATAAGACTTATTTTCATTTTTAATAAATTTTATTTTGAAAGCTTTTAAAGTTTTTTTCTTTTTTGCAATGTTTTAGGAAAACAAGGTCGAAGCCATCTGTTTTGGCACAGTGGTAAAACAATCAGACATGATCACGGGTGAAATATTGTCAAAAATGAGTCATTTAAAACTGCTCATACTGAGGGGAGTTGATTTTTTACAAAACTTGAGTTGTCTTTCTAACGAGTTAAGATACATGGAGTGGTATAGATATCCTTTAAAGTATTTGCCATCAAGTTTTCAGCCTAATCATCTTGTTGAATTGATCTTGAGATACAGCAACATCAAACAACTATGGAAAGACAAGAAGGTACTGTATATTCCCTTTTTGTTTATTCTTTCCTTTTAAGAATGTAACATGAACGAATCACAAAAAAATGCCTCCTCCCCCTCTTTATGTTAAATTTATGCGCAAGATGAGAGTTAATTTTTCTATTTTTGTTGGTCCGTGACAGTATTTTCCCCATTTGAGAAGTTTGGATCTGAGCCACTCAAAAAATCTAAAAAAGATGCCGGATTTTAGAGGTATCCCAAATCTTGAGCGATTAAGTTTTGAAGGATGTGTAAAGTTGGTGCGAATGGATCCTTTTATTGGAATTCTAAAAAGGCTTGTTTTCTTGAATTTGAAAGATTGTGAAAATCTAGCAAGCATACCAAACAACATATTTGGTCTCAGCTCTCTTGAATGTGTAAATCTTTCTGGATGTCCCAATATGTTTAGGAATCAAAGACTTGTCAATATAAGTGAAAATGCATCACATTACCAATCCACAATGTCTTCCATCTTGAAATGGACAACATTTAGTGCTCACAAAAATTTAGGTAGTTGTTCGTTGCCTTTCTTTATTAGCTTCTCTAGCTTGGTTAAACTTGATATTAGTTTTTGTGGTTTAAGCCAACTCCCGGATGCAATTGGTTGCTTACGTTGGCTAGAAGAATTAAATTTAGGGGGAAACAATTTTATAAGATTGCCTAGTCTGGAGGAGCTTTACAGACTTGCATTTTTAAACTTGGAACATTGCAAGCTCTTGGAATCTCTGCCTCAGCTTCCTTTTTTTACTTCTATGGATCGGGTCTTTCAAAGGAACAAAAAAGGATTGGTGATTTTCAATTGTCCTAAATTGAGTGAGAGGGAAGTTGGCAGTACTATCAATTTTTCATGGATGACACGGTTTATTCAGGCAAACCAAGTATTCACTTCAATATATGATCAGATTTGGTTTGTAGTTCCGGGAAGTGAAATACCAAGTTGGTGCAACAATCAGAGTGAGGGTCATTCAATAAGAATAGATCTATCTCCCATTATGCCTAACAATGAAAATAATGTTTGTGGCATTGCTTGTTGTGCAGTATTTTCTGCTGCACCTCTTGACCCAAGAGCTTTCCGTGACAACATACAGAACAAAAGGTCTCAACAAATATCTGGAATACAACTAGCTATTTGTACGAATAAAATTAGCACTTCGCTGTGTGGGGTCATCCCAGTAATTCTTCAAACTGATCTTATCGAGATCAAATCAGATCATATGTGCCTAATCTATTTTCCTCTGAAAGCAATCTTTTATTTTCTGGTTTCCAAAAACAAAACTCTCAGCCATCTTGATCATTGTAAGTTGGATTTTGAACACACACGTTCAATTAATAATAATTGCACGGTTCAGAAGTGCGGGTATCATTGGGTATATAAACAAGATCATGAGTCGCTGTCAAATCTCCTTAGCTCGGAAGTGAAAGTTTTTGGCAATTGAAGGTGAGGCACAGCCACAATCGTATATCTGATTATATAAAACCATATTGAACCAAACTGGTAAGCATGTGTATCATAATGAACAATCAATAAATAGTGAATGCAATATTCTAGAGCTAATAATCCGGTCAAGGATATCCAACAGTAGAATTAGTCATTCCGCAAGGTGTTTGATCATCCCATTACTTTTTTGTTCATACACATAATATGATTATGATTTGTTTATGTTGTTGGTCTCCTAACTTAGTAAAATACATTATTCAATTATATAACCACGTATTAAGCGGACAACTTCTCTACGATATGAACTTAATCTGCAAAAATAAATAGTGAAAAATCGGAACTAAATGAATGCAAAAAATGTAACCTGTAGTGATCACATAGAGATCAACCAAAGCACCAATGTAGCTAAAAACAGAGGGGTATTCAACACTTACAAGATAAAAAACCAACAAAGAAATTCTCAACCAACACAATACTAGCTTATGCTCTTAAAAAGGATCCATACAAAAAGTCAGAAAACAAGAGTTGTAAAGATAAACTACATTTCCACATAAACCGTTTCCACATAGAATTTAACATTCCAGCAAATGTCATTAAAACTACAAACTACATTTCTAAAGATAAAATCATTCCTAGCCTTCCATAAACAACAAATAATGGTCATCCAAATAGAACCAAACCTCAAATTGTCATCTCTATTTCTACCCGACCCGCACCAGTCCACGAAGAATGACCAAATACATCCCGCGAATGGGCTGCTACAACCGCACCATTCTCCCAAGCGGCTCCAAACAGCGGCTGCCATTGAGCACTCAAAGAATGAGTGCAACAAATCTTCATCTGATTCAATACAGAAAACACATGACCTCTCAAAGATCCCTACTCCTCTTTTCAAAAGAAAATCTCTAGCGCAATTCTATTCCACAACAATCTCCATCCGAAGATTTTGATTTTCGTCGGCAAATTAATTTCCATAAAGCTTCAAATGCTTTCACCTGGTCGGTTTGTATCAGCCGAAGCTCCCTTCCCTCCCTTAATGTTTGATAAACTGATCTAGAGTTAAACTCCTTTTTGTTTTCAATATTCCAATGCAAACAATCCTTAGTATCCCGAACCGGGCAAGCTGTCTGTAATAGCACAAACAGATCATGGACAGAGATAACCTGCATAATCATGGTCTCAGCAGGGAGTTCGAAGTCCCCCGCCGCCAGCTACCATTGCGCCAATGAAGAAGAAGAGTTTACCCAATTCGCCGTCCAAAAAATAGATTTTCCTTCTCCAATAGTGTGACTAATTGAACCTGCAAAAGAAAAATCAAGGTTAGTTGAAACAACCCCACTTTTGATTAAAACCTTCCACCATCTCTCCCTTTTAAAACCTCCTTCTAAACAGAAACTTTATCTTCCATGGTTAGAAGAGCTAGGTTGAATTCTTTCAGGCTTATTACACCTAAACCTCCCTTCTTCTTAGGTCGACATGTTAGAATCAATGCTGGAAAACTTACTTAATTGAATAAGAAAAGGCCAATAAATAGGCTTAAATAATATCACACGATATCCCTAACTGCCCATTATATGTGGAGCAGTTTATTCCTTCCTAAAATCTAGGTACTGACTTTGACTGAAACAATAAAATAGCTAACAATAAGCTGACACATTCTAATGTCCTGCAATACTTAATTTAATTAAACATAAATATCAAAATATTAATCTTAACATCTCCTCCTAAACTGAACAGTCCAGTTCAGTTTAACTTTGGTGCATCACATACTCCTAACTTCTTTCTAAGTCCCTGGAAGGTTCTTCACATACTCCTAGCTTCTTTCTAAGTCCCTGGAAGGTTCTTGTGTCGAGTGGCTTAGTAAATATATCTGCAACCTGCTGATGCGTGCTACAAAATTTTAACTGAACAGCTCCTTCATTCACCAACTCACGTAGGAAGTGGAACCTTACATTGATGTGTTTGCTTTTGCCGTGCATCACCGGATTTTTTGATAGCTTGATTGTTGAGTTGTTATCACAGAAAATAACAGGGTTGCTGCTTCCTTCATAGCCAATTTTGCCCAACACTCTTTTCATCCATATTAACTGACAAGAGCAAGCTGCTGCTGCCACAAATTCTGCTTCGGTTGTACTTAGAGTAACAATTGGTTGTTTCTTGGAGGACCATGCCACTGCTGCATCACTGAGAATGAAGGTATACCCGGATGTACTTTTTATGTCCTCCACACATCCAACGTAATCACTGTCGGTGAATCCTACTAGCTCTCTGTTTCCTTCTTTCCTGTAAAAGAGCCCATATTCAATAGTCCCTTGCAAATACCTTAAAATTCTTTTGGCTGCTGCAAAGTGAAGTTCAGTTGGCATAGACATGTATCTGCTAATCAGACTAATATCATACATTACATCTGGCCGAGTGGCTGTCACATACACCATACTTCCCACAAGCTGCTTGTAGAGTGTGATATTTACCTTCACACCTTCTTCATCTTTGTGAATCTTAAACCCCGGGACAATAGGATTTAAGACAGAGTTGCTTTCCTCCATTCTGAATTTTGTTAGTAACTCTTTCACATACTTTCTTTGACACATGAAAATTCCATTATCAAGCTGCAACACCTCAATTCCCAGGAAGTATTTCATTCTTCCCAAATCAGTCATTTCAAACTCTTTCATCATGGATTCTTTAAACTCATTCATCATAGTTTGATCATTACCAGTGTAGATCAAATCATCAACATACAAGCTAATAATTAGGCATTTACCTTGTGTGTTGAATTTTGTGAAGAGTGTTTGCTCGCTGACATCCTTTACAAATCCCATCTTCTGAAAGTAAGTATCTATCCTACTGAACCATGCACGTGGTGCCTGCTTCAATCCATATAGGGCCTTACGAAGCTTGTACACTTTTCTTTCAGCACCCTTGATTTCATACCCTCTTGGCTGGTCTACGTACACTTCTTCGGAGAGTTCTCCTTGCAAGAAAGCTGAATTTACATCTAGCTGATAGATTATCCAACTTTTCTGAGCTGCCAATGCTAAAATCATCCTCACGGTATCCATCCGAACGACTGGTGCATATACTTCCTCATAATCAACTCCGTGTTCTTGTGCATATCCTTTTGCAACTAGCCGAGCTTTGTACTTTTCAACTTCTCCATATTGATTCAATTTAGTCTTATAAACCCATTTTACTCCTATACTTTTGGCTCCCTCCGGTAGATTAGTGAGAAACCATGTTTCATTCTTCTCAATGGATTGAATTTCTGAATTCATAGCATTTCTCCATTCTTGGCTCTTAGCAGCTTCTTCATAGCTAATAGGATCACATTCTATGAATAAGGCTAAATGTGAGGTGTGATCTTGACTTGCTTCAGCAGTTTCAGCTTCATCATTGACGTTATAGTCTGTCATCCACACTGGTCTCCTTCTTATACGACCTGTCCTTCTGACACAATCTCCTTCTCTTGTATTTGTGGCTTCAGGAGATGACGCAGCCGCTGCCATAGTGTTTTCTCTATCACTTCCCTCTTCATCTATGCTTGCTTTATCTTCTTTAGTGACAGTTTCTATAATAACATCAGAATCTTCATTGGTAACATCTTGAGTCTCAATTTCTCCTTCATTTATGTCATCTCCCCAGTCTAGATCAAGGCTTATCAAGCTGTCATAACTCTTATCCCAACTCCACTTTTTCTCTTCTTCAAACACAACATCCCGACTAACAATGACTTTCTTGCTTATGGGATCGAATAGTCTGTAGCCTTTTGATTCTGAACTAACCCCAAACAGTACACAACTTCTTCTCTTATTCTCTAGTTTAGTGCGTTTGGCGTCAGGCACATGTACATGTCCTATACAACCAAACACCCTAAAGTGTTCTACAGATGGCTTTATCCCACTCCAAGATTCCATTGGTGTCATGTCCTTAACAGAAGAAGTTGGACTTCTGTTAAGCACGTAGAACGCCCAACTCGCAGCTTCATGCCAAAAACTCTTAGGAATATCAACCATCATACTTCTTACCATGTTCATCATTGTTCTGTTCTTCCTCTCGGCTACTCCGTTTTGTTGCGGCGTGTAAGCTGTGGTTAGTTGTCTCTTGATTCCATTATCTTTATAATAATCATTGAAAGCACTTGATGTAAATTCTCTTCCCCGATCTGTTCTTAAGCACTTAATAGACAGACTAGACTCCTTTTCAACACTACTCTTAAATTGCTTAAAGGAAACAAATGCATCAGCTTTATAAGCAAGGAAATAGACCCATGCTTTCCTACTAAAGTCATCAATGAAACAAAGCAAATACCTTTTTTGGCCATTTGAAGCTGGTGAGACGGGTCCGCAGATGTCAGCATGGATTAATTCCAACTTAGTTGAAGCACGCCATATGCTTTTTTTTGGAATATTTTCTCTATGTTGTTTTCCTTTCAGACAATCTGTGCAAATGGAATCAGGTCCGAGAAGACACGTCATCCCTTTCACCATCTCTTTGTCCTTCAACATGCGCAATCCTGTGTAACCGAGATGGCCAAACCTCCGATGCCAAAGCTGTACCGAATCTTGGGTTGTGGACTGCAGACAAACTTCTTTTGTGTCCTTGTCAGAATACTTATCAGAGAGCACAACGAACATACGGTTGGAGGTCATGTTGCTCTGAAGGATGAGGCCCTTTGTTGAGTGATAAATGCAGCATTTATTATCCTTCATCACCACTGTTAATCCTTTTTCTTGCAGCTGTCTAAGGCTAAGAAGATTATTCCTTAGTTCTGGAACATAGAAGACATCCTGAACAAGGTAGCTATTGCCTCCAAAGTATAGCCTGACAGTACCTTTACCAACCACATTTAACTGCATATGATTCCCTAGCCGCACTGTTCTTTGAAATCCATCTTCCAACCGATTAAATAATGACGGGTCTCCACACATGTGATTACTGCATCCTGAATCTAGAAACCACACATCAGTTTTGCTTTGCCCAAACGATTCATGATAAGCC